TAAGGCACTTGACTGCTAACCAGAGGCTGGCGGTTCAAACCCACTAGCCACTCCTCGGAAGGAAGGTTGGGCAATCCTACTTCCGTAGTGATACCGCCTCGGAAACCCAAGGAGGGGTCGCTATGAGTCAGGGCCGACTCAACGGCAAACAACAACAACAACATAATGTTTTAAAATCAGAAAGTGTGAATCTGCCTACTTTGTTCTTCTTTTTCAACATTCCTTTAGCTTGCCACTCTATCTAATATTGAGGATTGGTTTTTCCATTTCTGTAAAGAAGGCTGTTTGAATTTTTATTGGGATTTCGTTGATTCTATAGCTCACTTTCAGTGGTATTGACAACAATATTAAATCTTCCAAACCATAAACACAGAACATTTTTCCTGTTTTTTAAGTTTTTAATTTATTTCAGCTGTGTTTTATAATTTTCATTGTTTAAGTCTTTCACACACCTGATTAGATTTATTCCCCAGTATTTTTTTTTTTAGATGCTATTTATCGTAAATTGGGAAAAATAATTTAAATTGAAATCTGAAGCCCTGCCAACATTGAAGTGAAGTGAAGGAAAGCTCAGAACAACAGGCATATGAGACTGAAAGAATATTTCTTATTCAGTATTTTTTTTTTTTTTTTTTGGAAATTCAGGAAAATGAGAGGGCAGAATGTATACCTTGAATTATGATTTAATTTTTTTAATGTAAATTTTTTTTTTGTCATAATATTGTCAAAAATTGAAACTGTCAAAATTGCTTTTAAGAAAGAAAGTTTGTGAGTTTTTGTTTGGAGTAATGAAAATCTTTTGGAAACAGATAGTGGTGATGATGGTATAACATGGTGAATGTAATTAATGTCACTGGATTATTCATTTAAAATTAGTTAAAATGTCAATTTTTTTGATGCATGTATTTTACAAATAATTTTAAAATAAGAAAATAACAGAAAAGAATGAATTTTTGTACCTGATTTACTATTTGGCCATCTACAAGACTGCAGCCCTGAGACAATGGATGCACATTTGTTACTACAAAAAAGACATGGAGGAGGCATCTTCTAACCTCCTCAAACCTCAAGAGGGGAAGGAGAATCACCATCAATAGTCCAAGCCTTATTCCTATAAGGCCAGGCATACCACCATACTCCAAACTTTTTATCAATTCTGACACCAACCGTCCCTCCCACGGCACTCACTAAGTCTCTCCTGGGTTTGGTAATTCATTGCAATGGCCACACAGAACTCACAGACAATACTCATGGGGTTTATTAGGGAAGTAACAGGCTACAATTCAGGTTCAGGAATTGCTCAGGATACAGTTCTTCCATCAAGATGCCCTCAGGCTCACCTCTCTGGCCCTTGAGCTTTCAGTCTAGCTTCTGCCCTGCTTGGACAAATGTTACAAAGCTCTTTTAGCTCCCAATAGGTACATCTATGTGCAACCCATTCCACCAGCAAGGCTCTTTCCCAAGGACACGCAGCTTTCTCACTTTGTGGGCCATAAAGCCCACCACCACTCTGTCTCCTGCATCTTCTTCCACTACTGCTGTCTTTCTCTGCCAGGATTTCTCTGCCAATGAGGTCCAGCTCAGTGATCTCAGTTCTAGGGACATGCTCTACTCCAACTCCAGCTCTTTTCTCTTGGTGGCAGTGAGATCCCCTCTCTGCCTTTGTTGTTGTTGTTGTTGTTATGTGCCGTCGAGTCAGCCCTGACTCATAGCGACCCCTCCTTGGGTTTCCGAGGCAGTATCACTACAGAAGTAGGATTGCCCAACCTTCCTTCTGGGGAGTGGCTGGTGGGTTTGAACTGCCAGCCTTCTGGTTAGAAGGGCTCATTTTAAGCCCAGCTACATAGCAAAACTAACCAATCCTCTTATTAGACTTCTACATACTTCATTTGTGTGGTCCCACCCTGTAATATAGTGGGAGTTACAAAGATTATGGCTAGAAAATCAATACCAAGTAATTCATTGTATCACAGTTAGTTATTTAATACTTGTTAAAATAAAGAAATTGTGTGGTAAAGTAAAATGGGCTCTGCATTCAAGTTTACAAAAAAAAGAAGAAAAACAAACTCACTGACGTCATGTAAGATCCGACTCATAGTGACCCCTCTTTGGGTTTCTGAGGCAGTGTCACAAAGAAGTAGATTGCCCACCCTTGTGAAGTTTACAAGTACTGCATAAACCCACTGCCATTGAGTCGATCCTGACTCAGAGTAGAACTGCGCCCTTGGCAGGGAGTTTCCAAGGCTGTAAATCTTTATGGAAGCAGACTGACTCATCTTTTTCCTGCAGAGCCACTGGCGGTTGGAACTGCCTGTATTTTGATTAGCAGTTGAATGTGTAAACACTACCCCACCAGAGCTCTACCAAGCACTGCATAAGTTTTGCAATATTGTTTTGTGCATTATTTACATTTGGTGTTGCAATTCATTCAGTCCTGGATTTCATGGATCCTCCTTTATTCAATGTAGCTGCTGAATACTTGCCAGACTCTTCTGCTGCTGGCCAGGGCCAGCCCACAGGGCAAGTTTCAGAATTAATGATCTAATTTTTCAAGTAATCAGCCCCAACTCAAAGGCATCAAGATGTTATAGATGAGCAAATTGAAGTTTCTGTTGATGAATTAATGTTGTTTTGTTTTTCCTTAGTACCAAGTTAACATTTTATAAAATGCATTCTAAAACTTCTGCAATGATCTCCATTCTAACCGAAAATCTGAAAATCTTAGGGACAGGTACTTTCCCTCTTCATTTCTTCTTTCTTGTTACTAAACAATACCAACACAAACAAAATGAAGAAAAAAAATTAAAAACCCAAAAAAACAAAACAAAACAAAACAAGGAAACCCAAATAATGAAGGAAACAATCTGAGACAGTAGCCTACCTAGCCTGATATCCAAGGTTTGTCCCTACTTTTCAACTGTGCCATTGCATAGCAAGTGAGATTATTTCAATTCTCCTAGACTCAGTTCTCTCTTGGTGAATGACTCACTTTATAAGATGTCAGTGAAAGTACAATGTCATCTCCAGGATGATGTGCCTAGCATAGTGCCTGTCTCTGTGCTGGTCACCAGAGAGTGGGGATTTCCAAGCTGACAACAATGTGGGAGTACAAATACTGGTTTACTTTTTCATGAGTGGATGTTCTCTTTCCAGTGAGCTAGTCTGCTCTTTTGCAAGTCTCCACTGCTGAGTTGATTTTCTTTCTTTCAACAGTACATGAAGATGATGGGAGTGCATCCAGTGACCAGCTTCCTGGCCTGGTTCCTGGAGAACATGGCCATGATGACCCTCAGCAGTGCTGCTCTGGCAATTATTCTGAAAACAAGTGGCATCTTTGTGTACAGCAATGCCTTGATTATTTTTCTCTTTCTCCTGGATTTTGGGGTGTCAGTCGTCATGCTGAGTTACTTCCTGAGTATATTTTTCAGGCAAGCAAACATAGCTGCCCTTTGCACCAGCCTGGCATATATGATCAGCTTTCTGCCCTATATTGTCCTACTGGTCCTACATAACCAACTAAGTTTTGTCATTCAGACATTACTGGTAAGTGAATTATTTTTTTAAAGATACAAAATAAAGACAAAGCTGCCACCCACCCAACAAAATAAAATCTCCGTCACTAAGTTTCCAATTTATTATTTTCAGATATATGTAGAATTGCTAATATATGGTTCTCTTCATTGTATCCACAGTTGTAAACATTGCAGTTACAATACACTGAAATTGCAGTGGTTTTGCTAGATGGTGAACCATTAAGAATTATCATTGTTCCTGTAACACAGCATCACCTCTAGACAATTTGGGAAATCAGCAGCATCCTAAAGGAAGCACATGACTTTAGTTTCTCTTTGTTTAACACATGGAAAGAAATAGATTTTTAAAGTATTTTACACGTGAAAAGCAGTTTAATTGAAGCATCATAAATTACATCACATTTAGTGCAAAGATCTCTCCATTAGCAATGTCAAAGTCACTCACTTAATTAAGATGTACTTCTTGAGAAAGTATTAGAATGTTTTCAAGTCTTTACTATAAAATACATAAAGGAAAAAAAAAAAAAACATTGTCTCTATTCTTTTATGACTGTTGCTTGGCAACCACAGTGCCTGACAGGTAGCAGGAATGCAATTAACTGGAATGAATTACTATTAAAATGGTCTATTTCACTGAACTCGTGTCATAACTGTAAACATCTGCATTTGCTCCAGGTTTTACTTCTCCAGCAAGTCAGTCTAATTCTTTAAATTGCATCTATTAGGAGATGTGACCACAGACACTGTTGGAGAATTTTAGACATTATCAAGGAGATTCAGGATTAAAGGGCTGTGGGGAGCTCTGGTGTTATAGTAGTTAAAGCATTTGGTGCTAACTAAAAGGTCAGCAATTTGAACTCAAAAGCTGCTCTGCAGAAGAAAAATGAGAGTGTCTGCTTCTGTAAAGATTTACAGTCTTAGAAACCCAATGGAGGGTCACTATTGGTTGGAATCGACTTGATGGAAGTGAGTTTGGTTTTTGGTTTGAGAGTTTATGTGAAGGCCCTTACAGTAACTCTACTATAACTTTCACTGATAGAGAGTAGATGCCTTCTCTGTACATTTAGGGCCTTAGATTAAATTATTTCTGTGAAGATGAAATTATTTTTCTCCAACTTCAATAAACCATTCAACCTTCCTGGTTTGTACTAGTCATATGCATATCAATATAGATTGAAAAATTGGTTATGTTTAATCAACATTTTGTCCATTGTTATGTGTTCATGTGTTTTGATTAGCGTATGTTGCATCTGTAATATTTCATCACCAATAATTTGTTTGTGTTTTCAGAATAATTAAAACAAGCAAGCAAGCAAGCAAACAAACAAAACCCCAGTTGGGATCTTTTAGTGCCCATCTCTTCATATACATGTAGAAAAGGAGTCATTGACATTCATGACTTAAATTCTAACTATTATTATATTTGTCTTTATTTCAATTCTCACATTTACGTGCCTTTTGTATTCAAAGTTTGATGTATTTCTTTTTACATATTCAAATGTTTTTCAGTAGATAAAAATATAGCTTTGGTACATTGTATGTTTAAATGTGAGATGATTTTTTCAGTGGGCTTTTTTCCTGGTATAGGACTCTCCACTAAAAAATAAGATAACATTTTCTTTCAATAGACTCATTTTCTAGTGTAGAGCAGTGCATATATCCCATCAGCTTGCCTGCAGTGTGCTCTAGGGCATTCATTTAATAATAAAAAATAATAAATTGCTCTGTTCCATTTTCACTGTTTTGTGTTATGTATTTCTGTATACAGTGTGTTGAATTTATGACATTTCAAGTATTGCAGTGAAGAGAAATAATTCCTTTTAACATTAAGAATGAGCTTGTTATCAAGCTTTTCAAAATGGGCTGACACTCTGTGAAGTCTTTCAGGGTCAGATATTTAAATCATGGCCTGAAGCAACGAGTTGGCATTGTTAGATTTGGAACTTGTCACAGCTTCTCTATTTGAATTTAGTATTTTACATTTTCTGTGGTCCCAACCAAACACTAATATGCTGTTTTTCTCTTTGCTCCATCAATTACTGAGCAGTGCTTCCTCTCAACAACCGCCTTTGGGCAAGGAGTATTTTTCATTACTTACCTAGAAGGGCAAGAGGCAGGTAAGAGGATGGATTTTTTTTTTTTTTTTTAAATAACTTTTAATGATATGAGTTTGGGGTATTTAGGGTTATCCTGGTACAAGTGATAAAGTAGAACGTCTTCATTACAATTGTGGAACAAATGAATGGAGGTTTCAGTACTTGATTTAGCTGATGTTCAACATCCTCCAACAATCAAAATTTCCCAAGGGTTTTTATTTATTTATTTATTTTACAATTGTGATTTGGGAGAAAGTTTACAGAGCAAATTCATTCTCCATTCAACAATTCATACTCATTTTGTTTCATGGCATTGAGTTCAATCTCCGTAATGTAACAGCCATCTTCCCACCTCCTCCCTGTGGTTATCTTTTCCCTGTGACCTTCTTTCTTGTGCACTCCTGCACTCTGAGCCATCTCCCTGTGCAAATACTGCCCTTCTCATCTCCCATACTTGATTGCTCCAACGAGTATACCTATCTGGGGTAATTGTTCACTTTGTAGGCCTGTCTATTGTTTGGCTGGAAGCCACAGGAATGAGTTCAATTTCAGACCTGAAGGGTGACTAGGACTATAGTCTTGTGGGTTTCACCAGTCTCTATCAGACCAGTCAGCCTGGTCTTTTTTATGATTTTAAGTTTTGGTCCACATTTTTCTCCCTCTCTTTACAGGATTTTTTTTTATCCTTTTCTGAGTGGTTGGCAGTGGTAGCTAGGTACAATTCAGCTCTTCTGGCCTCAGAGTCATGTAGGCTGAGGTTCCCATGGTTCACTAGTCCCTTGTACTGACAGTTTATATGCATCTTTAATTTTTTTCATTCTTCTTTGGATGAGGAGAGATCAATAGCTGCATCTTAGATGGCTGCTCTCAAGCTTTTAAGACCCTAGTTGCTACTCTCCAAAGTAGGATGTAGAACAAAGTTTTTGTGTAGTATGTTATGCCAATTGAGCTTGATGTCCCTTGTGACCATGGTCCTTGAGCCATTGGGCCTAGTGACTCTCTCCTTTAAGGTATTTGGCTTTGGCTAAGAAATTATCATAACTTTACCCCCTGTTAACTCTATTATGTATATGAACATTCTATACTACACACAAATATATACAGAAATATCATCTGCCAAATTTATAGTCATGTGTATATTCCCTTTTGCCTAACCATACCTGATTATTCTCCCTATCTACCTATGTATCCAACTTTAGATTGTTTGTAATTACCGATAATGCAGTATTACATATGTAAATGTATTTACCTTTGTTTTCTGTACCTCTTGTGCACGTCTTCATGTCTTCCTTTTCCTTAGAGTGATTGTGCTGATTACTCACTTTTAGTACATTGTCTCTCCCTTCACTCAAATCAATACATGTCTCTTACTTATCTAGGAATTCTCACTCCTTTTCTCTCCCATCCCTGGTAACCAACAAATAAAGTTTCCTTCCATGTATAAACCTTTCCTTGACATTTTATACTAGTGGATTCATGCAATATCTGTCCTTCTGTGATTGACATATTTCACTCAGCATAATGTCCTTCAAGTTCATCCATGATATTAGATGTTTTCCAGATTCTTCATTATTCTTTATTGTTGCATAATATTCCATTGTGTATATGTACCATAATTTGGTTATCCATTCCTCCATTTATGGGGATTAAGTTATTCCCATCTCTTTGTTATTGTGAATAGTACTTTCATGAACATGGGTGTGCACATGTCTATTTGTGTCCCACTTCTCACTTCTTTAGGATATATACTTAGTAAACAGTTTGCTGGATCAAATATTATTTTTATTTACAACTTTTTAAGGAAATTCCATACTGTTTTCCACAGTGGTTTTATCATTTTATAGTTCCACCAGTAATGTAAGAGAGTCCCAATCTCTGCACGCCCTCATCACCATTTGTTATTTTCTATCTTGCTGAACTATTATTGCTGGAGTGAGATGATAATTTATTGTTGTTTTGATTTGCATCCCTTGAATGACTAATGATCTTGAGCATTTCTTCACGTGTTTGTTGGCTCTTTGAATATCTTCTTTGGTGAAGTTTCTGTTCATTTCTTTGTCCATTTTTGAATTGGATTCTTTGTCTTTTTGATGTTGAGATATTGAAATGTTCTTTAAATTTTAGAGATAAGTCTCTTGAAGGCTATATTGTTGACAAATTTGTTTCCCTATCTGTAGGTTCTCTTTTTATTCCTTTTGAGAAGCTCTTTAAGGTGGGTAAAAATTCAAATTTTAGAAATTCTCAGTCATCAAGTTTGTCTTCTGTTGTCTGTGCATTATGCAGTATATTAGGGCCCCTAAGTTTGCCCTCATTTTTTTTTTTTTAATGAACTTTATACTTTTAAGGAGCTCTGGTGGCATAGTGCCTAACACATTTGACTGCTAACCAGAAGTCTGGCAGTTTAAACCCACCAGCCAGTCCTCAGAAGAAGGACTGGGTAATCTGCTCCACAGAGATACCACCTCAGAAACCCAAGGAGGGGTCACTGTGAGTAGGAACTGACTCATTGGCAGTGAATTTTTTATTTATTTATTTTTTTTGTTTTATACTTTTAAATTTTGCATTTAACTCTTTGATCCATCTTGAGTAAGGTTTTATGTATGGTGTGAGCTATTGATAGTGTGTCATTTTTCTGCAAATAGTATCCAGTTTTGGTTTTACATTATCTGACCTTTATTATATTGAGGAGTTTCCCTTCTATTCTTATTCTGGTTTTGGTATCAGGGTTATGATTGCTTCATAAAATGAATTTGTAAGAATTCCATATTTTCCTATATTCTGGAATAGTTTGAGCAGGATTGGTGTCACCTCTTCTTTGAATGTTTTGTAGAATTCTTCAGTGAAGTCATCTGGGCCAGTACTTTTTTTTTTTTGCTGGTAGTTTTTTTTTTTTTTTTAAATTACTAGTTCAGTTTCTTCCTTTGTTAGGGGTCTGTTCAAATTTTCTACATCAGTTTGTGTTAATTTATATAAATATTGTGTTTCTACAAATCTGTCCATTTCTTCTAGGTTTTCAAATTTGTTACAGTACAGTTCTTCATAGTATGCTGATATTAACCTTTGTTATTTCTATTAGTTCTGTTGTGACATCACCCCTTTCACTTCTTATTCATGTTATTTGCATCTTCCCCTTCTTTTCCTTTGTTAAATTTGTCAGTAGTTTGTCAGTTTTATTAATCCTTTCAAAGAACCAAAGTATTCCCAATTTAAAGAAAAATTAAGAATAATTATGGCATCTCAGTGCTTCAGACATTATCCAGGTTAACCAGCCAGCTAATGCTCGAGTATTCCTATTGTTGTTGTTGTTATGTGCCGTCGAGTCGGCCCCGACTCATAGCGACCCCTCCTTGGGTTTCCGAGGCAGTATCACTACGGAAGTAGGAATGCCCAACCTTCCTTCCGAGGAGTGGCTGGTGGGTTTGAACCGCCAGCCATCTGGTTAGCAGTATTCCTATAATACCTCTGATATATGGTACACTTAGTGAACTTCTGAATTCTTACAAGACAGGAGCACTCCTGTATGTTCCATCCATTACAGTGTTATTGAACTATATTCTGTTTTGAGATCTCCTGCCCACTTTTCCTAGTTCAGTTCCCTCTTTCACATGACAGCTGTTCATGTATTTGTCAGCTCTCATTTTTATTCCCACTTTTTCTAGATCTTGCCTAAAGGGTAGAATTGAAAAATAGATCTAACCAGCATAAAATAGGGTACAATTATCTCCCCCACTTTTCTTTAGATTTTCCTCTGTTGTTGTAGCCTAAAATAATTTAAAATTTGGTGGCAGCATTTTTCACTTATATTTAAGAACTTGACAGCTCAAATCTTAAGCCAGAACAAACTTTGTTTTTTTCCCCAGATTTTTAACTACTTTGTGTGTGTTTTTGTAAGTACTTGGATTTGAAATGTATGCCATAAGGACAACTCAACTGAAGCTATTGTTGCATTAGCCAGTTAATTTGGTGCTAGCCTTGCCTACGTGTTAGTCTTTTCAGTACAACAGTGCTAAATTGCTCTTTAATCTATGGGTACCCTTGAAAGATTTCTTCTGTATTCCTCGAACTGATATTCTTATTTATATTTAAGCTCTTTATTGTGATTTAGGTGAAAGTTTACAGAGCAAATTGGTTTTCCATTCAACAATTCATACACATTTTGTTTCCTAATTTGTGCTGAAAATTGACAGAATACTCGTAACTCTTTAGTTTCATCTATTCTGTTTTAAACTTTTTATTAAGATTTGGTTGACCATTTATAGATCAAATAGATTTTCCATTGAACAACTCATATAATTTTGTTTTGTGACACTGATTGCAATACTCCCAATGTATCAGCACTCTTCCCATTTCCTCTCAGTGTTTATCATTTCCCTTTCTTATCTTTTCTTATCTTATCTTCCTACTTTCTTATCTTTTCCTGCCTTCTGAGCTTTTATGCCTGGGCAAATAATGCCCCCCTTGGTCTTCTGTGATTAAATGTTATAAAGTTGGCATACCTCACTGCTGTTATTTTTCATAGAGATACCACCTCGGAAACCCAATCTGGGGTCACTATGAGTCGGAGATGACTCGACAGCACATGACAATAATGATATTGTTTAGCTAGGAGCTCTGGTGACTTAGTGCTGAAGGCATTTGATTGTTAACCAGAAGACTGATGGTTCAAACCCACCAGCTACTCCTTGGAAGGAAGATTGAGCAATCTACTTCCATAGTGACACTGCCTCGGAAACCCAAAGAAGGGTAACTATGAGTTGGATCCGACTCTACAGCAATGAGTTTGTTTTTGTGTTTGTCTGTTTTTGTCTAGCTGAAAGTTAGGCCATGGCGTCAAGTTCAGTTCCAAAAAGGAGCACTGGTGGTGTAGAACCTAAGGCATTTGACTGCAGTTCAAACCCACCAGCCACTCCTCATAAGGAAGACTGAGTAATCTACTTCAGAAACCCAAGGAGGGGTCACTAAGAGTGAATCCACTTAAGGGAGTTATTTTTCACCTAATGGACTTGTCTACTGTTTAGCTG